CAAGATAAAACTCTCCATGCCTTTAACGGGTTTTGAATGCACTCGCATCATCGACAGCCCGTGTGGTTGAAAAAGTGCCGCCCCTTCCCCAGCATAACCGCCACCGCTGGGCAGAAAAGAGGAAAGAGAGAGGAAAAGTGGGGAGAGAAAAAGGGATGGTGGGTGCAGAGACAAGGGAAGGGTGCCTGCACATTTGAGCAACCAAACTTCCAGAAATGTGATGTGATGTGGCTCCTGGAAAAATGCGGTTCCGTGGTGTGAATAACAAACCTGGAACGTGCAAACAAAAATCCATCAGTGATACTTTTATTGGCCAACCAAAATGCACAATATTGCATTTGCACAATATGCACAAAAATGCACAATATTGCAAGATGATACAAACCAAAGAGGAGAAAAGCAACTGGAGATGTTAGTCAGATGCCTACATGTTGTTTCAGTCTTTAGTTAAGATGGCATATGGTGGGGAGGATATCTTTTGTAGGCAGGATCCTCCTCCTTTTGGCCCTGTGGCTATAGGGAGATTTGCAATGTCCAGGAAATTTAAAATCCATTTGCATCTCAACAGAGACCTCTCTTTTGCAATCCAATATATCTCCATTCCAGTGAGACCACAGGCCTCTTTGTGGCAGAGAACAATGGAAACCCAGTTATTTGCATAGTTCTGGTAAAACAACAACAACAACAATGTGTGAATGAGGCCTTGCTTTTGTGTCCAAATGCCTCAAGACCAAAAAGAGATGTGGCCTTTAATTGCATCAGTCCTTCCACCACCTTCTTATTCAGGTTTAACATATCAAGAAGGATGCAGCCCTGGGACCTTCCATCATCACATTTCTTCCCTGATCATCCATGCCTGATGATGCAGCCTGTGACCTTCCAAAGCTTGTGTGATGTATTTTGCAGCTTTGGGTTGGCCCAACAAAGGGATCACTTCAGTGTGTTTTTTAGATTTTGCTGTTTCTAAAGTAGAGGGAATCACACGCTACACAGGAGAAATCATGATATCTGGATTAAAAACCAGGAAACTTATATTCAGCTCTATTAATGAGAAGCATTTATTTGTGAAACTGTGACTAAAAATGGATGGCTCTTCTCCCCCCCCCCTCGCCCTTAAATTTGCTTCCTTGAGTCGTCAGGAATAATTCCAAGTAAGCATGTGTATGACTGTGATGCTAAAGGGATTTGTCAAAAAAAATATATTGTGAAGATACTTCTTTAACAGTATCCATCTGTTTGACAACAGAGGTAATCTGCATGGTTTATACCACAATCCTACACACATCTCATTTCTTTCAGTGTGTAGGAGAGCAGCCTTAAATATCAAACTGCCTATTTTGCCCAAGAGCAAGTTCTTCTTTCTCACTTAAAATCCAAGGCTAGTTATTGATATTCCACGTCCACATCCTGCAATTCCATACACACTTATTTTGAAAGCAAACCTGAGGAGGGGAAAAAGGTACAGTACAAGGTTGCCCGACAGCTTCTCTCCTGTCCAAAACACATTGCAGAAATAATCCAGTTTGTGACTGCTTCAATTGCCCTGGCTCAGTGCTAGGGAATCCTGGAAATTGTAGTTTATTGTGGCACCAGAACTCTCTTACAGAGGCTAAATGTCTCACAAAGCTACAGTTCCCAGGATTCCTTAGCACTGAGCCAGGGCAGTTAAAGCGGTCTCAAACTGGACTATTTTTGCAATATTTTTTGGACCTATGCAGCTGCATGGTATGCGGTAAACTTCAGTTTTCTCTGAAGATGCTAGCCACAGATGCTGGCGAAACGTCAGAAAGAAACTCTTTCAGAACATGGCCACACAGCCCGAAAAAACCCACAAAAAAAACTATGGATGCCGGCCATGAAAGCCTACGACTTCACATTAAAATAAACTTTAAAATTTGAAATTCACTCATTAATGTTCCAGTAAGAGGGCTGGTAAATAGACTTAAAAAATTAGTTAATTAAAGTTTTTTAAATATGTTAAAATTGATTTATTTCTGTATGGTAGAAATACACACACACACACACACACACACACACACACGTCCCTTGGAGTCTGTGGTCTTATCCTTTCATGGATGACAAGAAGAGAGGGATAAAATGGCGCGTGTGCGACAGCGTACAGCCATTAAAACAAATGGGAGCCCAATATTGGCGATTTTCCCAATTCTTGTGTGTGCATGTGTCCAGAACAGATCCCCTGTAAATCGAAAGGAACGACTGTATGTGTATACACACACACACACACAGAAAATGTAAAAAAAGACCATATACACACACATCAGAAAGGAGTTATTTTAGACCAGGGGTAGGCAGCCTTTCCCCTTTAAGGGCCGAGGGACTTCAGCTCCCAGAATCCCAGGAGCTATTGGCCAACATGGCTGAGGCTTCTGGGAGCTGAAGTCCCTCGGCCCTTAAAGGGGAAAGGTTGCCTACCCCTGCTTTAGACATTAACTAAAAACAGCAGTTAATGGAAGTGGGAAGTCAAGGGGGCATGGGGAAGGAGGAAAATTTGGCTGCATCCATACTGCAGAAATAATCCAGTTTGACACAATTGCCATGGCTCAATTGCTAGGGGATTCTGGGAACTGTAGGTTTGTCGGCCATTTAACCTTCTCTGTCAGAGCACTCTGGTGCCACAGCAAACTATAGTTCCCTGGATTTCCTAGCACAGAGCCAGGGCGGTTAAAGCGGTCTCAAACTGGACAATTTCTGCAGTTTTGGACCAAAGACTTAGACCTTTTTTTCTGTTGGAAAATGTAAGGTATACTAGTGCATCTCTCAAGCAAGGTAATGTGATTTTCAAATGCACTCTATGGCTGCATCCACACTGCTGAAATAATCCAGTTTGACACCACTTTAACTGCTCAGGCTCAATGCTAGGGAATTCTGGGAACTGTAGTTTTGTGAAACATTTAGCCTTCTCGGTCAGACACAGCTTTGGTGCCACAACAAACTAGTTCCCAGAATTAAAGAATTAATCAAGCTGGATTATTTCTGCAGT